ATCTTCTGCTCACCTGGCAAGCTGGCTTCAGGCTGTTCTCCAACAAGCTGACACACATTCTTATTGGCCTGGCTCTCTCCTGCCCTTCCTGCTTCCTGCTTCCTGCAGAGACGCAGCAAAGGGAGGAGCCCCGCCCAATAGGTTTGTCAGCTCGTCGCAGAACAGCGTGAGGCCATTCTCCTTTTTACACACATACACACACACACGGAGAGAGAGAGAGAGAGAGAGAGAGAGAGAGAGAGAGAGAGAGAGAGAGAGAGAGAGAGAGAGAAGAGCGCAAGTGCCTGTCTCTGTCTCTCTCTCTGCAAATGACGGAGGAGGCTGGGAGCCGTAGGAGAAGTCTCAAAGAGCCGCATGTGGCTCCGCAGCCGCGGATTTCCAACCTGTAGGCTAGGGCTGGACTAGAAGACCTCCAAGGTCCCTTCCAGCTCTACTCTATTCTAAGTCGAGGACCACCTGTACATTCCTAATAGTAATATATTAGTTCTTCTTTGACCTGCTGCATTTCAACAGGAATCCATTTCATCTCTCCAGACCTGCCTTATCACATCTTCTCTCCACCATAGCTTCCACTCTTGTGTCAACCAGAAATAGTTATCCTTTCCAGTGATTCCAAGATAAATGGCTGTGACGAAGCAGGAAGTTTGGGATACATCGCCATTATATACTCTATAAACACTTCTCTGTCTCCTTGGAAATAAATCGCTTCTTCTTTTCCTTGGGAGTAAACTATGCACCCCTCATAAATTGTGCAATTATATATTTGGCTGCCCAGTTACGCTCAGATGTCAAAAGTTTGTAGTGGACAGTGCTCTTGAGGAGGAATAATGGCTTCACATCACAGCAGTAAAAGTTTCTGTATTTTGCCTTCAAATCCTGGTATGGCCCCATATTTATAAGCTAATCATTTATCATTATTATTATTTTTAGATTCAAATGGTACACCGGCAAAATGTTAAAAATAAAAAGTAGGTGATAAAGTACACAAGCAATAAAAAGAATGTTGGAGTAAACATTAGAAAAAGTACGTTGGTTGACAGTGTTTATTAGTATCATATGTGTAATCTTTAGAGATATAAAGAAAGAAAAATGGCGTCTCTCTCTCTCTCTCTCTCTCTCTCTCTCTCTCTCTCTCTCTCTCTCTCTGTGTGTGTGTGTGTGTGTGTGTGTGTGTGTGTGTGTGTTAGGGTATAAGAAAAGGAAAGGGTATAAAAGGTGCCTTGATCTTCTGAATCATGGTGATATATACAAGTTTGGAAGTGAAGAGGCAGGGCTTACGCATATGCCATAAAGAACAAATTGCTATCTGCTACTCTATTGTAGAAGCAGTAAAAATTCCTACACTGGAGATAGCTGTATGTATCACATACCAATAAACTTGGATAAAATTGTGCAATGAATGTGCTCTAAAAAGAAATTGAATGTGATGTGGGAGGAAAGTTATTGCCTTAACTGACGTCAAGATAAAATACAGGTAGTCCTCGACTTACAACAGTTCACAACCTGCCTCCAGAAGCCGTGAATGCTCCAAACACTGGATGTTTTTAAGAAGAGACTGGACAGCCATTTGTCTGAAATAGTATAGGGCAGGGGTAGGCAACCTTGGCTCTTTTATGATTCGTGTACTTCAATTCCCAGAATTCCTGAGCCAGCCACGCTGAGGGAAAAGGGAGAGGTTTCCAGGCTGAGCCATGCTGGCTCAGGAATTCTGGGAGTTGAAGTTCACGAGTCATAAAAGAGCCAAGGTTGCCTACCCCTGGTATAGGGTTTCCTGCCTAAGCAGGAGGTTCGACTAGATGACCTCCAAGGTCCCTTGCAACTTTATTAATATTATTATGTGACTATTCAAAGTTACAATGGCACTGGAAAAAGTGACTTATGACCATTTTTCCCACTTAACGACCGTTGCAGCCTCCCCACGGTTAGGCGATCAAGATTCAGACCCTTGGCAACTGACTCATACCTATGATGGTTGCAGTGTCCCGGGGTCACGTGATCCCCTTCGGAGAAGCAAGTCATCAACGATTTGGACAAGGGGATAGATGGGGAACTCATCAAATTTGTGGATGACACCAAGCTGGCAGGAATAGCCAACACTCCAGAAGACAGGCTTAGGATACAGGAGGACCTGGACAGACTTGAACACTGGGCACTAACAAAATGAAATTCAATGGTGAAAAAAGCAAGGTTCTACATTTAGGCAAGAAAAACTAAATGCACAAGTACAGCATAAGTGGCACCATGCTCAATAGTAGTAATTGTGAGAGGGACCTCCGAGTCCTAGTAGACAGTCACTTAAATATGAGCCAGCCATGTGCTGCAGCTGCCAAAAAGTCCAATACACTGCTAGGCTGCATTAACAGAGGGATAGAATCAAGATCACGTGAAGTATTAATACCACTTTGCAATGCCTTGGTAAGGCAACACTTGGAATACTGCATCCAGTTTTGGTCACCACAATGTAAAAAAGATGCTGAGACTTTAGAAAGAGTACAGAGAAGAGCAACAAAGATGATTAGGGGACTGGAGGCTAAAACATATAAGGAACAGCTGCTGGAGTTGGGTAGGTCTAGTTTAATGAAGAGAAGGGCGAGGGGGGACATGATAGCAGTCGTCCAGTATCTCAGGTGCTGCCACAAAGAAAAGGGAGTCAAGCTATTCTCCAAAGCACCTGAAGACAAGACAGGAAGCAATGGATGGACACTAATCAAGGAGAGAAGCAACCTAGAACTAAGGAGAAACTTCCTGACAGTTAGAACAATTAGCCAGTGGAACAACCTGCCTCCAGAAGCGGTGAATGCTCCAACACTGGAAGTTTTTAAGAAGAGACTGGACAGCCATTTGTCCGAAATGGTGTACGGTTTCCTGCCTGAGCAGGGGGTTGGAATCAATGACCACCAAGGTCCCTTCCAACATTATTATTATTATTATCAATCATCGCACAGTCAGCCAGATGTTCAGACTGGATTTGGCATTTTGTCTACCTATCGAGTCCTTACCCAGGACCTGGGATAGGCAGATGTGGATGTTTGATGGTATTACAGATATCGTCGCAGGATGGAAGCAGTTCCTAATAAGGCCGCCTTTTGCAATTGACTAATAGCAAATTTGTCAATGCCAATGGTGTTCAAGTGGTGCTCCAGTTGTTTTGGGATTGCACCCAAGGAGCCTATTACTATTGGTACTACCCTTGCTTGCTTTTGCCACAGTCTTTCTATTTCTATTTGTAGGTCTTTGTATTTTGTTATCTTCTCCAGTTCTTTCTCTTCTATTCTGCTATCTCCAGGCACTGCCACGTCCACTATCCAGACTTTTTTGTCTTTCTTATCGACAATTGTTAAGTCTGGGGTGTTATGTTGCAGGTGCTTGTCTGTTTGAATTCTGAAGTCCCAGAGCAGTTTAATTTTATCATTTTCTATGACTTTCTCTATTTTATGATCCCACCAGTTTTTGCTTACAGGCAAATGATATTTTTTGCAGATCTTCCAATGCACCATTGTTGCTACTTTGTCATGCCGCTGCTTGTAATCAGTCTGTGCAATCTTCTTGCAACAGCTTACCAAGTGGTCCACTGTTTCTTCAGCTTCTTTGCATAGGCGGCACTTACTGTCTGTTGCTGTCTTCTCAATTTTGACTTTGTATGCATTTGTCCTTAAGGCTTGGTCTTGTGCAGCCAGAATTAGTCCCTCGGTCTCTTTCTTCAATTTTCCTGCTCTTAGCCATTGCCAGGTTTTATTATTATCTGCTTTTCCCAGCTATTTTTTTCATGTATTGGCCATGTAGTGCTTTGTCTTCCCATGCCTCTATTCTGTTCTTCATTTGGTCTTTCTTGTAGGCCAGTTTGGTCTCTGCAGTAGTTAGTAAGCCTTCCTGATATACTAAGAATCAATGACCACCAAGGTCCCTTCCAACATCATCATTATTATTATTATTATTATTATTATTATTATTATTATTATTATTATTATTACTACTACTACTACTACTACTACTACTACTACTACTACTACTACAACTGTATTTCTAATTTAACAAATGCAGTGATTTGTTTAACGACGATGGCAAGAAAAAAATATTGTAAGATGGGGCAAAATTCCCTGAATAAATGTCTCCTTTAGCAACATAAATTTTGGGCAAAATTGTGGTCGTAAGTCGAGAACCGCCTGTAGAGGAAAAAAATGATTGGCCCATCTGGAGAACCCACAACGAATGAGGGATGATGTAGCAGAACATTATTTGGGGTTACAACCGTTTTTCACACTTATGAATGTTACAGGCAGGTGGACGCTTGTCAGCTGGTTCATATTTATGACGGTCGCGGTGTCCCAAGGTCGTGTGATCCCTTTTGCAACTTTCTGACAAGCAAAGCCAGATTCACTTAACAGCCATGTTGCTGACTTAACACCTGCCATGATTTACTTAACAACCAGTGCAAGAAAGGCCGTAAAATGGGGCAAAACTCACTTAACAACTGTCTTGCTTAGCGATGGCTGCTTTGGGCTCAGTTGAGATCCCAGGTCCAGGATCACCTGTACAATTCCTTAAATGCCACAACTGATTGTATTTCGCTATCTGCCTGTTTCTGGTGTTTCTTTGTTCTCTTTGCCATTCTTTGGTGTTGTACACACGCCAGAATTACACAACTGGCGTGGGATTCCGAAGCAAACACATTGACTCCATTGTTTGAGAAAAAAGATGCCAGGTCAATTCCAAAGCCAAGTTTCTGCAGAAGAGGATGGCATGGATCAAAAGCTCCCGAGCGCATTTTATAGGTCACAAGATTTCATGTTTCAAATACGCCCTGGAATTTTTAATAAAGGAATATTTTAAAGAATTACTCGCTTATAATCTTTTGATAATCTTCATTCTGATGAGCACATGATGAGAACGGCAGACTTGCCAGTAAAGTAATTTATTTATTTTGCTTTGTGTTTGGACTGTTGATTCGGTTCCGGATAATCGGGCCTGCGCAAAATAATGTCTCTTTACATTTGTTGCAGTTCACAACTGGACGCAAGAAGAGACGCTTCAATGGCTGGTGGAGTTTGTCGAACTTCCTCAGTATGAGAAGAATTTCCGAGAAAATAATGTCAAAGGAACAACGTTGCCAAGGTCATTTTTTTTTCAATCTAATTAATTTCGGTAGAAGTTGTAACTTTACACCCTCCATTTTGATCATTTTCTGTGAAACACACATACTTCCTCTGTTTTTAATCCTGCTTCCAGCATGTACCGAACATGAAGAGTGAAATACTGTATACCAAGGCCAAAGCAATGTAGATATTTATATTAAAATATTGTTTACAGGTTCTTTTCTTTGAGTGCAGGATTACATGTACATGAAGCGATTATGTCCGTAATGACTATGTCTGATTATATGGCATCTATGTCCGTTATTTTTAAATTTCCTAAAATTGTACTTTAAACCAATCTACACATCTTTTGAACAAAAGCACAATCACTAATCAAGGAGAGAAGCAACCTAGAACTAAGGAGAAACTTCCGGACAGTTAGAACAATTAACCAGTGGAACAACCTGCCTCCAGAAGCGGTGAATGCTCCAACACTGGAAGTTTTTAAGAAGAGACTGGACAGCCATTTGTCTGAAATGGTATAGGCCAGGGATAGGCAACCTTGGCTCTTTTATGACTCGTGGACTTCAACTCCCAGAATTCCTGAGCCAGCCATGCTGAGGGGAATGGGAGAGGTTTCCAAGCTGAGCTATACTGGCTCAGAAATTCTGGGAGTTGAAGTCCACGAGTCATGAAGGGGCCAGAATTTTCCCCATGCTAGCTCCGGAATTCTGGGAGTTGAAGTCCACAAGTCATGAAGGGACCATAGTTCCTTCATGCTGGCTCAGGAATTCTGGGAGTTGAAATCCACAAGTCATAAAAGCCAAGGTTGCCTACCCCTGGTATAGGGTTTCCTGCCTGAGCAGGGGGTTGGACTAGATGACCTCCAAGTCCCTTCCAACTTTATTATTATTATTATTATTATTATTACTCTGCTTCAGTAGGAACATTGTAAACTACATTTATTTAGAGGGATTTAAGAGACAAAATTGTAGTTTTAAGCCTTTCTTAAACACACATACAAAACAAATTTAGCTTTCTGGACGTGAAGTCTTTGCTCTTACCACAGTACTGATGATGGTGAGGATGATGATGATGATGATGATGATGGGATGATGATGATGATGAGGAGGAGGAGATAACATTATTGGGGAAGAATGGATCCATCCATTATGTAGGATGATCTTTAACCTGCTGTGGAAATCTTACAGATGGACATTTTTGTACACAGGTAGTCCTTGACTAAGAACAGTACGTTTAGTGCAGGGGTAGTCAACCTTGGCTCTTTTATGACTCGTGGACTTCAACTCCCAGAATTCCTGAGCCAGCCATGCTGAGGAGAAAGGGAGAGGTTTCCAAGCTGAGCCAGGCTGTCTCAGGAATTCTGGGAATTGAAGTCCACAAGTCATGAAGGGACCATAGTTCCTTCATGCTGGCTCAGGAATTCTGGGAGCTGAAGTCCACGAGTCATAAAAGAGCCGAGGTTGACTACCCCTGGTTTAGTGACTGTTCAGAAACACTGAAAAATGTGACTTATGACCATTTTCATAGTTACGACCTTTGCAGCATCTCTATGGTCACGTGTTCAAAATTCAGACGCTTGGCAACTGGTTCATATTTATGACGGCCGCAGCGTCCCAGGGGGGTCATGTGATAAACTTTTGTGACTTCCTGACAAGCAAATGTCTTACTTGACAGCAGAAATATTGGGCTCAACTGTCATGGCAAGTCGAGGACTATCTGTATTTACTTTAATATATTACAGACCTATTGCTATTTCTGTACCTGTAATCCATGAAACCAGTTAAATAGGAAAAAAAAAAACCCTGCCTCCGTGATTGTAGGTCTTTGAACGTGACACAGAATGCATTTTAGTGACACCCTGAACAGTTCCTTTCAGGACAGTGTTCTTAAAACCTCTTATTTTATTGTGCACAGGATAGCAGTTAATGAACTTGCATTTATGATCTCTCAGTTGAAAATTATCGATCGGAGCCACAGGCAGAAACTTCAGCTGAAGGCCTTGGATGTCGTTTTATTTGGACCTCTTACACGTTAGTACATTTTGCACTGTCTCCCATAAAAGCATGTCTTATTTGTAACTACCAGCAGAGATTATACTTTTTTTCAATGTTTCTCCTACATTTATGCTTCGGCGTATTCTCAAGTGGTGTTTACAAGAGTGCTGTTACTTAAGTGTCCCTGTGAATGAATTTCCGTCCATTGTGTATTTTTGTGTCAGTGAGAAGGAGGAAATACAAAGCAGAAGCGAAGACGTGAACCTTTACATCAAGTGCCCAACTACTCTCTTTTGGCCAGAACTGAAATTACTAGTTGTTGTAGCAATACAGCTTCCTACCTCTAGATTTTCTTCCTGTGTATGTGCTGTATAAAGTCCATTCGGAGGAGAATAATCCAGGTCCAATTATATAGCTTAGGAAAAGTGAATTGTTGAAAATCTATAAAGTCGCTTTAGTTTAGCCTTTTGTGAAGTTCTCCTCCTCGTCTTTGACTCAGTTTGAAAAGCCTGTTGCAACCTAAGACTCTGCTATTCAAATATAATTTAGGTCAGGCACTTGAGAAACCTCCTGGGGTGATTATTAATTGCTTCCCAGGGCCAAGCATGGAAAGCTTTACATATTTTTTTTTTTTAAATTGTTGAGTCACAAGTGATTGAAATAGATGTGGGATCTATATCTTAGGCTAGTAGCTGTTTCTCTGTGTTTAGGGGTTTGGTTTGTTTGTTTGTTTGTTTGTTTTTTGGATTTGTTTTGCAAGGCTATTTTAGTCTTAACACCTGCCCAACTGGGTATCTTGTTCTTTAAGCAAGTCCAATAGCACTCTGTGAGTTTATTGTGGGATTCTTTCAATTTCAGAAGTGCGTGGCAGACCATTAACCTACAGAATGCAACCCTCAAGCTAGTCAGTGTACTTAGTTTTTGGGAAACAGGCTATTAAGTAAAAAAACAACAACGTTGGACTAGGTTAGATCGTGTGAAAGAGACCATAGAGACGAGTAAGATAGTTTTCAAAGCAACAGTTGATTCTGAACTCTTCAAGCTACAGTAAGATAATATAGAATAGTGGCCAAAATTGTGGAAACCTTTGGGAAATGTGTACAGTAGAAATGCCACCTTTGGTTAAGTTTCCACCTATTTTTCTTCTAATTTTTTTACAACTGTAGCCTTGTTCACTTAATAATACTATTTTACATTGCTTTCTGGGCAACCGGTCAATTCTTTCCACCATTACTTTAATTTTATTACATTTTGCAAGCTCACTCAATGAAAGAACACAAAAAAACCCCAACCAACTTGACAGCGATAACACACTGACAAATGTCCTCCTCTCAGCTTCAATACAGGACATCAATAACTGAATCCTCCCGTGATCTGATTGGCTCATTGCCAAAACAAGATGACACCTGATTGGCTGTCTAAACACTCACGCTCATTGGCTACAATCAGATGAAGGAAAGCTACCTGAGATCAACCTAAGCAAGTTGTGCTTCCTTTTTCTGGTTATTTGGCCATAACTTTTCATAGAATACAGTACAGATAATTGAACAAACTTCGTTGCATTACGTTCTTGATTAAATTATCTTTCCACTGATATATAATTTTATGGTACTACTCCAAAAATAAAAGTGGTGTCATTAGCCATCAAACCTCAAAAATACACTTTTCCCAAAAGGTTTCCACAATTTTGGCCACTACGGTAAATGATGATTAGTGGAAGGCGATAGGTTTTCAAAGGTTGCACTCAACGCTGCTAGCTTTAGAGTACAAGGAGTCCTAAACCTACGACAGTTCATATAGTGACCGTTCAGAGTTACAACGGCAGTGAAAAAAGTGACTGAGGGCCGTTTTTCACACTTACGACCGTCTCAGCATCCCCGTGGCCGCATGATCAAAATTCAGATCCTTGGCCACTGGCTCACATTTATGACAGCTGCATGTCCAGCCGTCACAAGATCACCTTTTGCAACCTCGTGGACAAGCACAATTAATGGGGAAGCCAGATTCTCTTAACAGCTGCGTTACTAACTTAACAACTACAGCAATTCACTTAACGGCAAGAAAGGTCGTAGAATGGGGCAAAACTCTCTTAACAAATGTCTCCCTCGGCAACATAAATTTTGGCTCAATTGTGGTCGTAAGTTGAGGAATACCTGTATTCTTTTTTTTTATTTTTTTAAAAAAAGATGAAATTCATATTAGGGCTGAATCCAACATGCTGCTTCAGAATGCACAATGATCATGAACGCTGCACTTGCTGGCAGTTCATTAAAGCAGCTGTGTCCTTTTCTATATTTCTATAATGAGTTACATTACAGCCCTGGAAACAGTTACAGTTGCTTCGGTGATACTCTTTGGAGGTCAGTCCGAAGCCGTGTGCCATCTGCCTTGCTTTTACTGTATGGGGAATGATTTTTAGGAGGAATGCTTTGTTTTAGAATAGCTTGAAAAAAAATAATACCGTATGTTCCGGTGTATAAGACGACTTTCTAAACCCTGAAAATCTTCTCAAAAGTCAGGGGTCGTCTTATACGCAGGAATATACGGGTAGCTGTTCTCTGAATTTAAAACCAATCTGCCCCCTAGTGGCCAGCCCTATTTTTTTTTTTCAGAAATAAGCACTAACAGGACAAAGCTTTCTAGCAGCAAAGGAGCTCCTATTGTGCTCATCTATAAACAGAAATGCAATATTGTACTGTATTTTCTGGCGTATAAGATGACTTTCTAAACCCTGAAAATCTTCTCAAAAGTTGGGAGTCGTCTTATACGCCCAGTCACCTTATACGCCGGAATATACGGTAACTGAGTTTAGATAGAGCAGTGGTGGCAAACCTATGGCACGCGTGCCAGAGGCGGCACTCAGAGCCCTCTCTGTGGGCACATGCGCCATGCCCCGGAGATGGCAACCGTCTCTCTTCAACCAGCCGCCCGCTAACTCACCGAGGTCCCACGTGGCTGGATGCATCCCAGCATGGATGGTTTCCCTCTCCCCCCCCGTCCCATCCCTCCTGGCCTCGCATGCTCTCCTTTTCCAGGGCACGACCCACTGCATTGCCTCCTCAGCTGTCGGCCGACCGTCCAGCTCAGAGGCGGCTTCTCTGAACTGCTGGTGGCGGGTTGCGGAGCCCCAGAGTGCGTGGGTCGAGGATCTGGCAGGCTGTGGCTGCTGACGGATACTGTCGGCTCCCATGCGCTCGCTGGCCTCTGTATGGGGGGGGGCGATGGTGTCAGGCAGCAGCTGCCTTGGCCCCTGCCTCGCCTTGCCCTGCGACAATGGCACCCCCGCCCTTCCTCGCCTTGCCTCACCTCACCCCGCAGGATGAACCTCCTGCCCACTGCCCCACCTGCCAGAGACCCCCTGGATCTTCCCCAACCCTGCCCGGCCCCCACAGGTGTCCCTCCCCACTAGCAACATCAAGGTGACCGCACCTACCTTGGCCACACCCACCCAGTTTGCCATGACCACCACAGCCACGCCCACCCAGTGGGCCACGCCCCCTGGCACCCGGCGATACATAAGTGGGTTTTGGGTTGCAGTTTGGGCACTCGGGTCTCTAAAAGGTTCGCCACCACTGAGATAGAGTACGTAACTATACTAAGTAATTTGGGGCTTTGCTTAATTCTTTCTCCTTTGTTCTGCTAATCACAATGAGGATGTGGGCTTCTGTTTCTCCTTTAGATTTAATTAACTAAATTAGCCTGTCATCAAAGCCTAAACTTTGGTTATTTTTTTTTTCCCCCTGTGGTTAATTAGTAAAGTAGAAACAAGCCAGAATCGTAAACTATACCGCAAGACGTGTCTGGCTAACTTTCAGAAAAAGGGAATTTTCAAAATCTTTCTCAAGTCTCCATCAGAGAAGAATAGCAGTGCCTCTCTTTTCTTTATCCAAATAATGCTGAAATATGTTTTTTTTTCCCCCAAACAAACCTAATACATAACTGCTTTTTCTAGGCCCACCCCACAATTGGATGAAAGATTTTGTACTCACAATCTCCATAATGATTGGTATCGGAGGGTGCTGGTTTGCTTATACACAGAACAGGACTTCAAAAGAACACGTTACCAAAATGATGAAAGACCTGGAAAGCCTCCAGACCGCGGAACAGAGTCTTTGTGAATTGCAAGAAAGGTACTTGAGAATGCTGCTTTTTGGATTAAGATACGGTGGAATATTCAAAGAATTTTCAAAAGAAGGATAAAATTTACTCCACAATTGTTTTTGTTGGGTATTGTTTCTGATTGTGATGATAAAGAAATTATTTTAATGTTAAACTTAATTACAGCAGCAAGGTTGTTAATAGGACAATATTGGAAGAAGGAATTTTTGCCTACTTTGCAGGAATGGTTTTTTAAAGTTTCTTACTTATCTGAAATGGCAAAAATTTCGGCTTTTTTGAAAGATCAATCGCAAGAGAAGTATCTCTTGGTGTGGAAAAGATGGATAAATTTTATACAACATAGGTATGATATTAGAAAATATTATTTAGCTTTTGAATAATTTATATTTAAAGTTTAAGATATTATTTAGAAGTGTAGAATAGTTTTCTTTTTTTTCTTTTTATTATTTTTTTATTTTCTTTTTTTCCCCCTTCTTTTTCTCCTTCTGTTTTTTATATATAATGGAGTTAAAGTACTTAACAATTCATTTATTGATGTAATCATATTTCTTTGAGGTTTATTTGGGTTTAAAAGTTTTTTCTTTTAAGTTCTAGTTAACCCTGTATTCAGCTCTGGGAAGAATGGGGGGGGGGTTTGGGGTGGGTTGGGAGGGATTGGGGAAGGGGTTTTTATTGTAAAATTGTAAAAATTTATATATATATATAAAAAGAAAGGTACTTGAGAATGCTGGGATTATGCAGACCATTAGGGCAGGGGTCTTCAAACTCGGCCCTTTTATGACTTGTGGACTTCAACTCCCAGAATTCCTCAGACCCCTGCATTAGGCTGTTCAAAAACTTTATTATAAAGCTGTTATTACATTCTCTCTACATTCAGATTCCTGTGAAAGAGGAACAAGGATGTGTTTGACTAAGCCAGTGTTTCTCAATCTTGACAATTTTAAGGCATGTGGACTTCAACTCCCAGAATTCCACAGCCAGCAACGCTGGCTGTGGAATTCTGGGTGTTGAAGTCCACATGCCTTAAAATTATCAAGGTTGAGAAACACTGGACTAAGCCAAAATGCTCCTGGCCTGATTAAGGATCGTTTCAAGAATAAAACTCGACCGATCTGTCAAGAGATTGGCAATCTTTCACTGTGCTGCCTCCACTTTTACGCCCTGCTTAGAATCGCGTTAAAGTGTTTGCCCAGTGAATTGAACCGTGCACAGAATTAGATAAATGTGGTTAATTTGTGCTAAAAATGTTTACCCCCCCCCCAAGGCTTGAAAAAGCACAGGAGGAGAATCGAACCGTCGCCGTAGAAAAACAGAACTTAGAACGCAAGATGATGGATGAAATCAGCGATGCAAAACGGGAAGCCTGCCGACTCAAAGAATTGAGAGAAGGAGCCGAGTGTGAACTCAGCAGACTTAAATACGCAGAAGAGGAGCTGGTGCAGGTATTTTTCAAGTTACATTCAAAGTTTCAGTTTCCATCTGGATCCAGCAACGCTTGCAAAGATTCTTGTGCTGGCCAAAAATCAAACTTTGAACTTTACATCTCACAGGCAATTATCCCCCCGTACATTTCTCACGATAAAGGGCTGCCCTACGATGGCTTTTGAAGGGTAGAATGGAAGGGTCCAATCTGGAATTGGATCCGATCTTTTAATACAAGGGCCTCCATCATCCTACTCTAGGTAAATAAACAATAAAGCCAGGGACAAATGAAACTGTAAATCAGCGAGGCAAATTGAGGTCAGCCACAGAAAGACATTTCAGAAACCTGGAAAGAGATGGATAAAAACGGGGTAATTTGATCTATGGAAATAGAAAACATGGAATGTCTACAGGCTACCTGTGGAGCAAACTAGAACAAGAACTAGATCAGGGGTCTTCAAACTTCACCCTTTAAGTAGTGAACTGGACAGATTCTTGCTGGAAAAAACAGATCAACACTGATGAGAACATAAGCTAAATAGGGAACTCCTAGGGAATCATCAGCACCTTGAATTTGGCCAGTAGCCTACTGGCAATCAATGCATCTTCTACTGAATTGACTAAAGCTGGTCAGCTGCATTCAGTCCCAACTGTAGCTTCGAAGTCATCGTCATTGGCAGCCCTGCATCGTTTGAATTCCAGTAATCCAATTGATAGAAGACAGGTCATTTGTAGTCAGTGCCTCTTCTACCTAAAGCAGTGGTCTTCAAACTCGGCCCTCTTATGACTCATTGACTTCAACTCCCAGAATTCCTCAGCCAGGCATGCTGGCTGAGGAATTCTGGGAGTTGAAGTCCACAAGTCATAAGAGGGCCAAATTTGAAGACCCCTGATCTAGATTCATCTTCTGTTTGGTTAACTGAAGATCTTTCTTTCAGATGTGTTAATTGACTAATCAATTCATTAACTCAATATCCTAGTCTTGCTTATAAATGTTCAACAAAGCATTGGTTCTGTCAGACATTGTCTTGGCAATATGGTTAACAGGCCGGTGCCTTTATCAAATCGAGTGCCTTCTCTTCGCTCCCCTCCCACCCCTAGGTCCGTATGGCTTTAAAAAAAGCCGAGAAGGAGTTCGAACTGCGAAGCAATTGGTCTGTTCCAGACGCGCTGCAGAAATGGCTGCAGCTCACACACGAAGTGGAAGTCCAGTACTACAACATTAAGAGACAAAATGCAGAAATGCAGCTAGCCATTGCCAAGGAAGAGGTAAAGCTGCACGGTTGAACAATTCAGGTCAAAATTGGGAAAATGAAGATGCGGGTTCGGTGGGCGGCTGACGATTGTCACCTCTCAGGACATAGGGCTATCCCTCTCACCGGTGCCGAGATGAAACTTTCTCGAGAATGTCCTTAAATGTTCCATTTGCTGCTCTGGACCTTTTTCTGGACCATCCCCTTTTTTAGAGGAGGGTGGCGGCAGGTTTTTTATTTTTATTTTTAAAATTTATAAACCGCCCCACTCCCGCAGCACTCTGGGCGGCTAACAATTAAAACAACATAAAACATGACAAAACAAACAGTACAATAACTGTCATCCAGGGGTCAGATTTTATAAACCTCAGGCCTGCCGGAAAAGCCAGGTCTTAAGCAGCTTACGGAAAACCAACAGGGTGGGAGCGGTCCTAATCTCCGGGGGGAGCTGGTTCCAAGACGTGGGCGCGATCACAGAGAAAGCCCTCCTCTGCGGCCCCGCCAAATGGCACTGCTTGGCTGACGGGACCCGAAGGAGGCCCAGCCTGTGGGATCTAACCGGACGAAGGGAACTATGAGGTAGTAGGCGGTCTCGCAAATAGCCTGGCCCTGAGCCATATAGGGCTTTAAAGGTAATGACCAACACCTTGAATTGGACCCGGAGACCAATAGGCAACCAGTGCAGCTCACGGAGGATAGGTGTAACGTGGGTGTATTGAGGAGCACCCACTATCACTCGCGCGGCTGCATTCTGGACCAACTGTAGTCTCCGAATACTTTTCAAGGGTAGCCCCATGTAGAGCGCGTTGCAGTAGTCCAAACGTGAGGTGACAAGGGCATGAGTGACTGTAAGGAGAGCCTGTAAGGAGTTCTAGAAATGAATGTTGAGAACTTAAAAAAGTTTTCCAAAAGGCCACGATTGGGACACGTCCATCTTGCTAGCCTTAAGAGGATTTGCTTCTGGAAGCGGCTGAGGTGCTCCAGGGTAACGGCGTGGTTTCAAATCATGCTGGTGGGAGGACGGGACTCTCTGCTCCTGGATCTCAAATCAGTTTCAGATGGTGTGAAAAAGAGGTAACCCCTTGAATTCTAGAATTCCACGTTCCCCTGTCCCCCATTCTTAGGGCTGTAGCCTCTGTTTTTAAGAGTTGTGCCCTGTGGTTCTAACAACCTTTCTGTTAGACCAGTGGTTCTCAACCTGTGGGTTGGGACCCCATGTGGGGTCGAACGACCATTTCACGGGGGTCACCAAACAACGCAGTCCGCCATTTTTTCCCCCTTTTCCTTAGCTGTGCCACTCCCTTTCATTCTATTGGCTTTTGAAAGCCAATAGAATAGACTCTCTTGAACAGAGTCTAATTCTATTGGCTTTCAAAAGCCAATAGGAATTGTCCAGGCTGTCTCTGCCCTGCTGAGCCCACCAAAAGTCCCATTCTGCAAATGGTGCTGCACCAGTTGAGTAGTCCTCGACTTACGACCGGTTGAGTAGTCCTCGACTTATGACCGGTTGGGGGAGGTCGCGGCATTAAAAAGGTTGAGAACCACTGTGTTAGACACAGTGCAACCAGATTTTCATGAGTTTTTTGTGATTTTCACCAATAGTAACACCAGTCATCTCTGCCTCAGTAGTAGCTAGCTCGTGAAATGATACTGCAAAAGGGATGGGGGGGGGTCTTTGAAATAAACATGGCAGAGAACTGAATGATCAAATAAGATTTCAGTCTTGACTATTAGCTCACGCTGCAGCAGCAAGCTGTTGCTGGTCATTGGTCACTGAAGACCAATGACCAAGAGCCGAGGTGGCGCAGCAGTTATAGTGCAGTTCTGCAGGCCACTTTAGCTGACTGTGTTCAGCAGGTCAGCGGTTCAAATCTCACCGGCTCAAGGTTGACTCAGCCTTCCATCCTTCCGGGGTAGGTAAAATGAGGACCCAGATTGTTGGGGGGCAATGTAAATATATATATATATATATATATATATATAATATATATATATATATATATATATATATATATATATATATATACATATATATATATATATATAAATATATATATATATTATATATATATACATACACATACACATTGCTTACTGGTGTACACCGCTTAGAGAGTGCTTGCACTTAAAGTGGTATATAAGTCTCATAAATAAAATAAAATAAAATAAATAAGACCATCTGCAGATCTCATTGACCACGGTCTCAGAGCAACATCCTGGAGTCTACCTTGGTGTCAAAAGTGAGAACATATTTGTTTCGTTTTGAAGATGCAGCTGAGATAGAATGACTCTTCAGGTACTGGCGCCAAGAAGGGAATGCCTCTCTCTTTCCCCTTCTGTGCGACTTAAAATGGCTTTTCAACCAGTGGTACAGGTACCACCTGTGGTACATTGGCACCTGGCAGGTGGTACGCGACCATTCTAGAAAAGTGGTAGTGGGGGTGGGGAATGAGCTGAACTAGTGGCAGCACCGCACAAGCCTGAGCGAGAGACGGCTGGAGCTGCAGGGCTGTCAGGGCTCAGCGGAAGTGCCAGGATCAGCGCTTCTTCGGGGCTGTCAGGGCTCAGTGGAAGCGACAGGATCAGCGCCAGGCTCCAGCTGGAGCTCGGCACTGATCCTGGTGCTTCTGCTGAGTCCTGAAGAAGCACCAATCAGCTGGAAAGCAGCACTGATCTTGGTACTTCTGCTGAGCCCAGAAGAAGCGCCGATCAACTGGAATGTTGCAGCATCTCCAGGGTCTTGTGATTTACATTCAGATGCTTGGCAACTGATTCATATTTATGACGGTCACAGTGTCCCAGGGTCATGTGAAGCGACCAAAACCTGCTGCAACCACCCAGCAGACGGGGGGGGGAATAAAAACCAAACATCCCCCACCCCACCCCTGCTGCCAATCCTCAACAGAAATGCTCACAACAATGAAAACGTCGGACAGGAGGAAGAGCGCAGCCGGGTGGGCAGGCAGGTGTCTTGCTCGGCTGTGCCTTGGGGGGCACTTTTTTCAGTGCCATTGTAACTTTGAACAGTCATTAAGTGAACTGTTGTAAGTCAAGGACTACCTATACTTCATCACTTTTTTCCTTTTTTTTTTTGATCATCAAGTTTTTGACACCTTGCTAGGCGACTGGTGGTACTCGGATGTTGCCATATCCTAAAAGTGGTACAATGGGTGAAAAGGTTGAAAAGCCCTGGCTTAAAAGAAGCCTTAAATTCCTGTGATGTTTAATTTTAGGCAGAAAAAATTAAAAAGAAGAGAAATACTGTATTTGGAACGTTACATGTTGCACACAGTTCTTCACTCGATGAAGTGGACCACAAGATTCTGGAAGCAAAGTAAGACATTGAATGGATATTGGAAATCTTGTTCTTTTTTTTTTTTTTAATGGGGCTCGGACATTTTAAATTAAAAACTCAACATAATTTGAACAAAGTCCTTCAAGCTGGTGACGCTTGAGGAAGGGATTGGATTGTCTGTAGGATGACTACAGCTTCCTGCTGATTAAATATTGTCTATTATGGCTGATATTCTCTGCTAAAATGGGCTCAAAGGCATGAATCCAGTATGGACAGTCTGTTGTTGGAAGGGTAATACACCCAGTCCTTAAGGAGACAGGTGCTCCACCTTCTTAAAAAAAAGATCCCTGGGGATTTGGCCATCTTGGAGAAATATAATCCAGCCTTGCAAAATTCTGTTAACGTCGCCTCAGAATAATCATGGTTCATCTAGTCCTGCTTCTTGTCTGGCTCACCTGGCAGGGCTGACCCTAACTCAGGGGTAGGTAACTTTGGCTCTTTTATGACTCGTGGACTTCAACTCCCAGAATTCCTGAGCCAGCATGGCTCAACTTGGAAACCTCTCCCTGTCCCCTCAGCGTGGCTGGCTCAGGAATTCTGGGAGTTGAAGTCCATCAGTCATAAAAGAGCCAAAGTTGCCTACCCCTGCCCTAAGTGATACGGTCACATGATGTGTTATGCCTATGACCACATTGATTAATGGTGATAATTCCGGTCCCACTTACCGCCGTAACTTGGGGACTATTTGTTTGTTTGTAAAATGTATTAGCCTCCCATCTTACTGCACAGTAACTCTGAGCGGCTTACAGTATGAAATGATAAAACTATATAAACTAATAATATAAATACTACTTTAAAAAAAAATCAACCTAACTAAAAAGATGGGGAGGGAAGAAGCATGATGAGATGACCTACATTTGTAACTCTTGCTGGAAAAACATGGCTCTTAAATCAGGGGTCCCCAACCTCCGATTTGTGGACCGGTATTGAGTCACGGCATGCCAGCAACCAGGCCGCAGAAACAAGCAAAGCCCCATCCGCGAGATGCAGGCAGCACACAAAACCACGCCCCCTCCGGTCCGTGGAAAACCCTCTCTCCATGTAACCGGTCCCTGGTGCCCAAAAGGTTGGGGGACCTCTGTCTTAAATGAAGTAATACACAACCTAGGTGTTCTTGTGGACCCATAGCACCAGGTAGATGCTGTAGCCAGGAAAACCTTTGGCCAGCTTCAGCATTTCTGTCAGCCAGGTTGTTTCTTGCCCCAGCCCTGCATAAACTCATTTCTCAGTTACCTTAGTGCAATTTTACAAAGGGTTGCTCTTGAGCAGTGGTGGCGAACCTATGGCACGCGTGCCAGAGGCGGCACTCAGAATCCTCTCTGTGGGCACATACGCCATCACCCCAGCCTCACCTCCCCCCGTGACTCCCTCCTCACCATCAGCCCCCTGGAGGAGAGTCGCCCCCGAGCGCGGCCCACGCAGAGCAGCCCAGCCAAACACATGGCAGCCAGGCAACAGGGACAAGACTCCACCCTCATACCCCATTGTGTGCAATTGATGATGTGGGGTGTGGGCGGAAGGCATGGCTGCCATCGCTCTGCTGGGCCGCCTGGGCGGGCTGTGGAGGCGGTGGGTGGCCCTGTGGGTGGGCAGGACGGGGGCGGGTCTGAGTTTTGTGCACTCGGTCTCTAGGAGGTTCGCCATCACTGCTCTTGAGGATAGTGTTGCTGACCGGTATTTAAATATCACGGTGGCTATGTGACATGGCTTGTTTTAACCTCTGGCCTCTTCCCAGGAAAGCACTTTCTGAATTAACCACTTGCTTGAGAGAGAGACTCTACCGATGGCAGCAGATTGAGAAGATCTGTGGCTTTCAAATAGCCTACAACTCAGGACTGCCCAGTCTGACCTCCTCCCTCTACTCTGATCACAGTTGGGTAGTCATGCCACGAGTTTCCATTCCGCCCTACCCAATCGCGGGGGGAGTCGACGACCTCGATGAAGATACCCCTCCCATTATTTCCCAGTTTCATGGTACGTGGTGGGGGATATCTCCGATGACCTTGGACGACCGGGGTGGGGGCGTGGGAGACACACCTTTGTGGCTGGAGTCTAAAGCTCTGAAATACAATAGTCCTTAACTTACGGCCACAATCGAGTCACAGAATTGCTGTTGCTAAGCGAGACAGTTTTTAAGTGAGCTTTGTCCTATTTTATGAACCTTCCTTGCTCCAGATGTGAGGTGAATCCCTGCAGTTGTTGAGATATTAGCACAGTGTCCGAATAGCAAACTCAAAATAAAGGAACCTTCAAGGCAGGGGTATTCAAACTTGGCCGCTTTAAGACGTGTGGACTTCAACTCCCAGAATTCCTCAGCCAGCCTGAGGAATTCTGGGAGTTGAAGTCCACACGTCTTAAAGCGGCCAAGTTTGAAGACCCCTGCTTCAAGGCTTTGAAGCACTATGAAAGATAAACTTTACTGAACGCACCTCAAGGAACGGAAGAAGTAAAACCAGCTCTGGTTTTCCTGCGCTAAAATCTGCCTGGTTAACAATAGCTTCCCTTAACCCCCACCCACCACTTGTTCACGTTGCCCAATCATATACGAGGGCAATTCGGAAATAAACCTCCGTTTGGTTATCAACGACGGACACTCGTGGATACAGAACTTTCATTATACACATTAGAAAACTGCAACATTGCGTTACTTTCTGACATCACCGCCATTCAAATTGAGGCACTTGTTACAACGTTTTACAAGGTTTGAAATTCCTTAGTTGGAGTTGCTCGGCGCCAAATCTGGGCTATAGGGGGGGAGATCAAAAACATCCCAATGGAACAGTTTCAACAGTCCTTGGGTTGCGTCTAGCGGTGTGCGGGCGAGCATTATCACGAACCATGTTTAAATTTATTTGCCTTCAGCCCAAATCATCCAGTGTGGCTTCAATTCTGAGAACATTCCAAATTCTGGTGTACCTTTTTAGAAGGACCCCTGGTCCTTCACATGTTGCTGAACTAAATTGCCCCCACCACCCTGACAAAGTCTGTAGCTCAGCAACCTGTTCTTTACCCCTGAGGATGGCTTCAAATAAAGTAGGGTACTTGTATCGTTTTGTTCTGATCTGTGCTTGGTGTTTCTCGTCGCCTGTGTGACAATGCATTCTCCCGCCCGATACGTTTGAAGCCAGGCAAAATTTCAGTTGGCACTTTTAAAGCCGATGCCAGTAAAATTCCAATTTTCCAATGAAACCGACACAGGCAGCGAGACAGTTTCTGTTAAATATTGTGAGTCAGGTGGCCTGTTTTACTAGGCCAGGGGTAGGCAACCTTGGCTCTTTTATGACTCGTGGACTTCAACTCCCAGAATTCCTGAGCCGGCCTGGCTCAGCTTGGAAGCCTCTCCCTTTCCCCTCAGTGTGGCTGGCTCAGGAATTCTGGGAGTTGAAGTCCATGAGTCATAAAAGAGCCAAGGTTGCCTACCCCTGTACTATGCGATTACTAAAGCTACAGGGAAATGGCATCAAGTGGAGCTCAATTTCACCCTTGCCTTGTCTGTCTCCTTGGCTGTTGTGTTTTAAAGAAGAGTATTAGGAAGGGGGAAAAAAAAAACACCTCCATTTTATAAAGAAAGGACTTTTCAGAGCGTCTTTCTGTCTTCATGGAGCAGAGTAATGTTTTGGAGTGATGAATGGCTTCTGAATCCGGTTCTGTTCTTCTCAGGGTCTGTTGTGAAAACCACCACCTTAGCAAGGAGCAGCAGCGTGTACCGCTCCAGGCGAAATGTTGTGCCATCATCGCCTCAGTTGCAACACACAGCACAAACACAACCCACTGCGCACACACCAGCCACCCTGCAATCTGCAGACCCAGACCTCCTTTCGGTGTCCAGTTGTCCTGCTGTTTACCGTACGGAAGAGGAGGAGGAGGCGATTTACTTCACTGCTGACAAGCAATGGTATGAACCTTGGCGCATTCATGTACAGACCAAATTAGAATAGATCAGGGGTCTTCAAACTTGGCCCTTTTAGGACTTGTGGACTTCAACTCCCAGAATTCCTCAGCCAGGAATTCTGGGAGTTGAAGTCCACAAGTCCTAAAAGGGCCAAGTTTGAAGACCCCTGGAATAGATGATAAGAGGATGAACTCTGGGCATTAGCACACTCTGAACATTAGTGCAGAAAAGAAATATATATATATATATATATATATATATATATATATATATATATATATATATATATATATATAGACAGACAGACAGATAGATAGATAGATAGATAGATAGATAGATAGATAGATATATAGATATACCGTAAATACCAGTGTATAAGACGACTTCCGCGAGCGCTGAAATCGGCGCCAAAGACGGGGGTCATCTTATACGCCCGAGTCGTCTTATACGCCGGAAATACTGGTAGTTTCCGGCGTATAAGACGACGTTCTAGGAATGCGGCCCGGCTATAAAGACGGGGGTCGTCTTATACGCCGGGTCGCCTAATACGCTGGCATATATGGTGTATATGTGTGTGTGTGTGTGTGTGTATATATATATATATATATATATATATATATATATATATATATATATATATCCAAAATAAAATGAACACCAAGGTATTGACTAAAACTATAAAAGTTTAATTTAAAATCGCCAAGCTTTTGCCGTCACCTGCCGGCATCATCAGGGCTGGACCGCTCGGGTGTGGGAGAGTCATTTTTATAGGCAAGCCGGTGACGAGATCGAGAAGCTGAGTGCAGACTTCGGCTTGCCTATAAAAATGACTCTCTCACCCTGGCGGCCCAGCCCTGATGATGCCGGCAGGTGACGGCGAAAGCTTGGCGTTTTTAAATTAAACTTTTATAGTTTTAATCAATACCTTGGTGTTCATTTTATTTTGGATATGAATATTCCCAGGGTTCATATTTTAGATCAGGGGTCCCCAAACGAGGCGACTTTAAGACTTGGGGACTTCAACTCCCAGAATTCCTCCGGTCTTAAAACTGGCAAGTTTGCAGACTCCTGCCTTAGATTAGGAAGTGAGATTGTATTATTATTATTAATATTATGGTTAATCTTCCATTTGATTCACAGTCTGGGACTGGTAAAAACTTAAAAGTTGAAGTCCTAACCTAAGGGAGCATCTGAGTATATGGGCAGTTCCGAGTCAGGTGGTTTTTTTGCAGGGTCAGAATATTCAGGTCCAATAAAATTTCAAAATTTCCCAAAGGCAGCCCTTATGGGTATTGCTCCAATTGTGTAGTGTGTATGTGTGTGTGTGTGTGTGTGTGTGTGTGTGTGTGTGTGTGTGTGTGTATATATATATATATATATATATATAATGTATGTATGTATGTATTTATTTATGAGACTTATATACCGCTTTAAGTGCAAGCACTCTCTAAGCGGTGTACACCAGTAAGCAATGTATATATATATTTACATTGCCCCCAACAATCTGGGTCCTCATTTTACCTACCCCGGAAGGATGGAAGGCTGAGTCAACCTTGAGCCGGTGAGATTTGAACCGCTGACCTGCTGAACACAGTCAGCTAAAGTGGCCCGCAGTACTGCACTCTAACTGCTGCGCCACCTCGGCTCATTATATTTATTTGCTACCTATCTCGTTTTGAGGTGACTCTTTGGGTAGAGCTGGACACATCCATGAAGCTTTCTTGGATAATAGAGATTATTGCCTTCTTTGGAAGTTTTTTTTTAAATATTTCTAGTCCAATTCCTGGGACTCCAACATAGACCTCCATCCAGATACTAACCAGGATTTGCTCAGCTTTCTAGATTAGTCACAACTGGCTAACACTGCCGCCTAGTGACACCTTTGAAATGTAGCTCTAATTGTCTATAGGGCCTTGCATATCAAACCAAGGATTACAAATAGCCGGACGTTTAGAGCTACACAGGCTGGTTTTTCTGCCACAATTCACAAAGGAATTGCCAGTGTTTAGGCTGTTGAGATGGAAGCCACCGATGGCGAAGCCAGTGCAAGGGACTTTCTGCATAATTCAACTCTTGAGTTTCTTAATATGTTCAGTAGGCAAAAATTATCCAGTGACCTTCTATATCGTTAGAAATATCACTGCTATGATTGTATGCTCTCAGCTGTGGCAACTGGGGCTCGGGTTTTGTTGAAATCTGCAAGTTACCTCCCCTCTGGTCTAAAGCCTTAAAATGAGATAATGGGAAAGCCGTGGAAGGTTTTTGCACGTATTGTTTCCTTCATCTTTCTTTAAATTATATACATTTTATATACCATTTGTTAGTCACCTGCAAACTGTAGAAAACGGCAGCGTTGGTAAGTTGATGGTGTGTTTGGGGTTGCAAACTGAGCTAAAACCGTGTAAACAATTTTTTTTCTGACCTCTTTACACAGAAATTTCTGTAATTTTTAGCGCTTTGGGAATATAGTGTTGGATTAGATCAGGGGTAGGCAACATTGGCTCTTTTAGGATTCGTGGACTTCAACTCCCAGAATTCCTGAGCCAGCATGGCTCAGCTTGGAAACCTCTCCCTGTCCCTTCAGCATGGCTGGCTCAGGAATTCTGGGAGTTGAAGTCCACGAGTCATAAAAGAGCCAAGGTTGCCTACCCCTGGATTAGATAAACAGTTGTTATTTCTAAACATTCTTAATTAATTACACAAATGTTTTCATATATCGGGGTGTCAAAGTCGCTGTCTCACGTGACGTGTCGTGATATATCACAACTTTTTTCCACTTGCCAGAGCTGGGGTGAACGTAGCTTCCGTGTGACACATTGGACCCAGGGGCCGGCAGTTTAACATCCCTGATATACATACATACATACATACATACATACATACATACATACATACATACATACCGTATATGCCGGCGTATAAGATGACTTCCGAAGCGCTAAATCGGTGCCAAAGACGGGTCGTCTTATATGCCGAGTCGTCTTATATGCCGGAAATACTGGTAGTTTCCAGCGTGTAAGACGACATTCTAGGAATGCAGCTCAGCGATAAAGACGGGGGTCGTCTTATACGCCGGGTCGCCTAATACGCCGGCATATACGGTACATACATACATACATATATATGCTGAAAAATTTGCATAAAAATACGACTCCTGGGCATGTCTATGGTACAAATAAAATACGAATACCAGGAGAATATAAATATAAAAATATACTTTACTAAAAGCTGCCGAGCTTTTCATGGATGCCCCCAGGGTGGAAAATGAAAAGAAAAAGGAGATGAGGGTCAATATTATGGGAGGAAATAAGGATAAAGGGGGGGTTTTGGAGGAGATGAGTGTTAGTAATGGAGTGGTGGGAGGAATGAACTGGGAGAACGATAGAAGGCACTTCCTGCAAGGAGAGTAATAAAGAAACACCTGGAACACAAATTAACCGGCCGGGACCGGTGACGCGTCCAGGAGCCGGGTGCAAATGTCAGCCAAACCCATTTAAGTCATCATTGTTTATTGGCTCCTTAGCCCTGATGATGTTTGGAGTTCCCAAATGAAAGTTCGGCAGCTTTTAGTAAAGTTTATTTTTATATTTATATTCTCCTGGTGTTCGTATTTTATTTGTACCATACATATATATATATATATATATGTAGGTCTTTGGTTATTTGGGTTTTCTCCTGCGTAAAATTGGAAGTGTCTTGGCGACGTTTCGACAAAGTCCCATTCGTCATCTTCAGGCTGGTGTTTTCGGCTTCGTGCTTCTAGGAGCATTTGGTTTTGTGTGCTGCCTGCATTCCATGGATGGGGCTCTCCATGTTCGTGTGGACCGGTTCCTGGCATGCCGCGGCCTGGTACCGGTCCACAGACCGTAGGTTGGGGACCCCTGGATTAGAGTGATTGTCTAGATTAACCGGATCTCTTGTCTCCTCTGCGTTGTAGGGAAGCTCAGGATGCAGGTTCCGAATGCGACTCCTTCAATTCTTCCACCGGAAGGAAGCAGTCTCCTCCTTCAAGCCTTGACATCTATCAACCCCTGTCACCTCAAAAGACGTCCCAGGAAGATGTCTCCTTAGAACAGTCCTCTACCGGAGACTCTTCCTCCCTCACCGCCGATATTTCCAGGGGTTCGCCGGACTGCGTGGGGCTGACAGAAACTAAAAGTATGATCTTCAGTCCCGCGAGCAAGGTGTACAACGGCATTCTGGAGAAGTCCTGCAGCATGAACCAGCTCTCCAGCACCGCTCCTATCCCTAAGCCTCGGCACACCTCGTGTTCTTCCACCAGCAGTGAAAGCCGAGCCGGGCACGAACCTTCTCCCGTCTCCCGGATCAGTAGCGTTTCACACGACCTGTATCAGAACGGAGAGCGAAGCAAAAAATCGTCCAAAATCAAGAGCCTTTTCAAGAAGAAGCCCAAGTAAGGCTGCTGGAGGAGAGATTTTTTTTTTCCCAACTACGGCATTCTTTTGACTTTCTGGTCATTATTACTGTTGTTATTATTATTATTATTTAAATTAAGAATGTAGTTGTCAGACTTTCCTAGGTTTGTGCAGCACAGCAAGAAAATCTCTTAGGTCAAGTCTTTTTTTTTTTCTTCCTTCTCTCCTGTTTTAAAGTCACCTTGCATCCGCTGTCAGTGAGAATTTTCAGTTTCAAGACAGTTTTACAGTCGGTTTGTCTATTTATTTCAGCTTTTTTTTTTTTTTAGTTTATATATAAAACGTTTTTAAAATTTGAAAAAAAAAATATATATATATATAAATCAGCAACACTTTAACACAAGCTTTAACGGACTTGTAAAGCCTTCACGGGCTTGTCAATTTTTCTTTCCTTGTTTACCAGAGCATCTTCTTAATCTTTCCATAGAAGCTATGGCATTGTGGACTGGACACGGGGCAACTTTTGAATGAAGTACAACGACTTAAATTGCACTACTGTTCTCCTGACTGGAAAGTTATCTTTGCAAGCGAAACGGTTTTAAACTCGTCAAAATAAAAGAAAAAGATGGGCTGGTTCAGCAGTTGGGGTTTTTTTTTTTAAGGTGGTTTCTATGTAAAAGCTAGCATTTCTAACCGTTGATTTTTGGAACTGGAACCTCATTTTAAAATGCATTTAATTAACCTAACGGATTGGCTCCTGTTGTAAAGATAATCCAGAGACTTCACTATGATCTTATGGCATTGCACAGGCTGACTGGGTGGAAATGTATGTCGAGAGAAGGAGCTTCTGATTCCATATCCAAGTGGTAAAATGTCGGTCTTTTTACCAGGATGGACTTTCTCAGATATTCACAAAGTTTAAACCTGGGTGAGGGAGAAATGTGGGCGCTTGTTTACAAACTTTGACGGTGAGAAGATGGTTGATTTGTGAATATTTGTACTGTGGCAAAGATAATAAATTGAAAATCCTATTGTGCCATGACTGGTTTGGATCGTAGACGTTCCCTTTTCCAAGTCAAACTTTTTGGGTTTTTGTTCTTATATGTAATGGTACGTACACGTTACTTGCTGTGTTGTCTATATTCTCTTTATTGCAGACATGTCAAACACAAGGCCCGGGGGCCGGATACAGCCCGCGAAGTGGTTTCATGTGGCCCGTGAAGCCATCCTGGAAACAGTGAGGGAACGGCCCCCTCTGCCTTGGCCCTGGCCCAGGCCAGCCGGGAGCCAATGTACAATTTTGTGGTGGCCATCTTGGCACTTGCCCTGGTGGACCATGCCTTGGCACTTGCCCTGTTCCCACCCCCTCCTGCCAGAGACCCTCAGATCTGTCCCACTCCTGCCCAGGCCCCCACAGGCACCCTTGACGTGAATGATGTAGAAATGGCCATGCCCACCCAGTAGGCCACACCAACTCCATCCACACCCACCCAGTAGGCTGCACCCACTCTGGCCACACCCACCTGGCCCCCCAAGGGCAACCGCAATGCTGATGCGGCCCTCAGCGAAATTGAGTTTGATACTCTCCTTCTTGGGAATACACAGATTGCTTTTACAGCAGAGATGATGCAGAAGAGAGAAGAGAGCTCAGCTTTCCAAAGCATTGTTAATCAGAAGTGTGACGTGGGAAACAATCCCAAACATATTGCCTTAAAATGGCATGTAAATCAGAGGTGTTGAACGTTGGCAGCTTTAAGACTCGTGGACTTCAACTCCCAGAATCCCCCAACTCCTCAATTCTGGGAGTTGGAAGTCCACAAGTCTTAACGTTGCCAAGATCGGACACCCCAGAGTTACATGCCGTGTGAATTGTAATTTCACTGCTATAGCAACGTTGGGCCATTTTTGCAGGGTTAGGAACGCAACGGCCAGCCTGCCAACTGTGACGGCCATGAGTGGAAGCAATAGGGCAGAATCTTTTCAGCCCCTTCCCTTTGTAAAGATTTTAAGGCTACAAATGAGAGTAACTGGCTTCCAGAAGGCCAAGTTATCAGTTTCTCCACCCCCTTAAATACAGCTAGTCCTTGACTTACAATAATTTGAGGGTGAAGGTTGGTTGTTACTTCACAAAGATACCCCCCCCCTTTAACAAGTAGGCTGGAAATGCAGGGAAAACACACCCCTTTTATTAGTTAGGTACAGACCTGCAAAATATCCCAAAAGCAAAGGGAAACAAAACACAATGTAAACGGAGAATTGTCCAAGGCAAGCAAAACAGGATTCAAACAGAGAATTGTTCATAAGCAAGGCAAACAAAACAGAATTCCATGAAACTTGAGTCCTTTGCAAACGGTTGCCTTCAGCAACTAGCACCGCCCACACTTTCCCTTTTTATTATGCAGCCCCCAGGCGTGGCTTCTCAATGCCTTCTCCTTCTCCCTTGGAGTCACCCCATTGCCTCCCTCTGTCCTGCTCTTGTTGCCTGTCTGCATTTGCGAGCATCTATGATGTCTTCCAGATGTGAGTCCTCAAGAGTCTGACTCAGCTTCCCCGCATAGCTGAGTCTCAGCCTGAGCACGATTGGAAGGGCTAGGCCAGTGATGGCGAACCTTTTAGCGACCGAGTGCCCAAACTGCAACCCAAAACCCACTTATGCATCATTGGGTGCCGGGTGGGTGTGGCCCATTGGCTGGGCGTGGCTGCGGTGGTAACGGCAGACTGGGTGGGACTAAAAAGTTCAATCAATCAATTCCAATTTTTCCCGTGAGAAGTTGAACCTTTTTTTTTTTTTTTTGCACACGGCAGTGGAGGCCTAAAGCGAAAAGGTTTTATAAAACCCAGCTGAAGGCCTAGGACTGGGGCGATGGTGCGTGTGCCCATAGAGAGGGCTCTGAGTGCCGCCTCTGGCACCCATGCCATAGGTTCGCCACCACTGGGCTAGGCTCTTCATCAGATGGTAAGTCCTGCAGCTCATCAGAGCCTTCCTCCGACTCTGATGGCTCTCCAGCCCCCCCCTCCTTCTCTGATTCCCCGGATTCAGCTGCCGGGTCTAGTGGCTGGCACGGACTCACGACAGTGGGGTTTCATGACCAGGCTAACCTCTTCAGCAGAGTTTAGGGGATGTCCGTGTCAGTGTTCTGTTTATAAGGGCTTCGTGTGGTCAGTAGGTCTTGTCATGGGTCAGTTGTGGGTGTGTCAGGTGAGGGTCTTGTGATGGGTCTTGGGTAAGTGACTCACACCAGACCCATCACGAGAACCTCGTTTGACACACCCACATGTCTGCAGCGCCCTGCCATTTGTGCAAATCGAGCGGCGTGCGTGTGTGCAGTAGCCTGCCACTTGTGCAAATCGAGCTGCACGTGCCCCAGCCTGCCATTCACACAAGGGCTTTGTGCCTGGGTGTCTGCGCCAGCCCAGTTTCCCTCTCCCCTCCCCCCTGCCCTCTAAGCCACAAAGGTTGGGGACCTCTGTGCTAAAGCTAAGCCATGGCATTAAATATGATTCAGCCCCCGCTTCCCTCCCGGGTGTGCTATCTTGATTCCAGACGATAAAATGTGACGTTACGTAAAAGTACTACCAGCGTTGTAATTAGGACTCCTTTTAAAGCAGTGGTTCTCAACCTGTGGGTCGGGACCCCATTTGGGGTCGAACGACCATTTCACGGGGGTCGCCAAACAACGCAGTCCGCCATATTTTTCCCCCTTTTCCTTAGCTGTGCTACTCCCTTTTATTCTATTGGCTTTTGAAAGCCAATAGAATAGACTCTCTTGAATAGAGTCTAATTCTATTGGCTTTCAAAAGCCAATAGGAATTGTCCAGGCTGTCTCTGCCCTGCTGAGCCCACCAAAAGTCCCATTCTGCAAACGGTGCTGCACCAGTTGAGTAGTCCTCGACTTATGACCAGTTGAGTAGTCCTCGACTTACGACCGGGTTGGGGGGTCGCGGCATTAAAAAGGTTGAGAACCACTGGTTTAAAGCCTTCAAGATGACTGGAAATGTAGCAGCTGAGACTGTTTGTTGTGAGTTCTGACCCATCTCTTTGTGTCTGGTATTTTTGCATGACTTTACGATGCTAGTTTTAATGTACTTGTTGGAGTCAGGTGTCAAAATAGCTGAATAAAATGTTGTTTGGTGAATGTCAAGCAAGCAGGAGCGGCTACAGCATGGTGTCATTGTAGAAGTTGAAGTTGAAGTGAAAGACGTGAGCCAGCTCTGTTGGGAATCCCCACCTTGCAACTATTTGTTTACTGACCGTTTGAAGTGAAAAAAGCGACTTAATGACCGTTTTTCACACTTAATGACCGTTGCAGCATTCCCCATGGTCACGTCATCAAAATTTGGGCACTTGGCAACTGACATGGACGTAAAACAGTTGCAGCATCCAACAGTTGCAGTCGTGATCACCTTTTGGTAACCTTCCCAATTGGCTTCCCACAAGCAAAGTCGATGCAGGAAGCCAGATGTGCTTATTGACCAGGTGTCTTGCTTAACAACTGTAATGCTTTGCTTAACGACTATGGCAAAAGAGTTATAAAATGGGGCAAAAGTCACTTAACAACTGCCTGGCTTAGCAATGGAAAGTTTGAGTTCGGTGTTGGTGGTAAGTTCAGGCCTGCCTTTATGTTCAAGCTTTTATCTTCATGTTTGAATTAACCCCTTAGTTAATTTTTCCTGAGGAAAAAAAGAAAAGAAAACAACCGTCGGCCTATCTATCTATCTATCTATCTATCTATCTATCTATCTATCTATCTATCTATCCATCCTAGCACTTCTATCTATCTATTATATCCATCCATCCATCTATCCTAGCACATCTATCTATCTATCTATCTATCTATCTATCTATCTATCTATCTATCTATCTATCTATCTATCCATCCATCCATCCATCCTAGCACTTCTATCTATCTATCTATCTATCACCTATCTATTATATCTATCTATCTATCTATCTATCTATCTATCTATCTATCTATCTATCTATCTATCTATCTATCTATCTATCTATCTATCCATCCATCCATCCTAGCACTTCTATCTATCTATCTATCCATCCATCCTTCCATCCTAGCACATCTATCTATCTATCTATCTATCTATCTATCTATCTATCTATCTATCTATCTATCCCATCCATCCTAGCACTTCTATCTATCTATCTATCTATCTATCTATCTATCTATCTATCTATCTATCCATCCATCCATCCATCCATCCATCTATCTATCTATCATCTATCATCTATCTCTATTTATGCATCCTAGCACATCTATCTATCTGTCTGTCTATCTATCTATCCATCCATCCATCCATCCTAGCACATCTATCTAGCATCTATCTGTCTGTCTGTCTGTCTGTCCGTCCGTCCGTCCATCCATCCATCCATCCATCCTAGCACTTCTATCTATCCATCCATCCATCTATCTATCATCTATCATCTATCTCTATTTATGCATCCTAGCACATCTATCTATCTATCTACCTACCTACCTACCTACCTACCTACCCACCCACCCATCCTATTTTGATTCACAGCCTGAGGAGACTGGTAAAAACTTAAAAGTTCAAGTCCTAACCTATGAATTCCCAGCATAGAGAGCTCCCCAGCCAGCATGGACTTGTGGACTTCAACTCCCAGAATTCCATGGCTGGCTGAGGAATTCTGGGAGTTGAAGTCTACAAATCTTAAAAGTGGCCAAATTTGTAGACTCCCAGCTTTAAAGGAGTTAACATGTTACTGTTAATGGACTGCAGCTGAGTGGAACACCTGATAGTAATTAAAGACTGTCTCAGAGATGGTGGTTTGGTGCCTCATGAACCAGCTTTGAAGGAGAAGGGCAGGTTAGCAATTGGAAATATAAATAAATAGATATTGGCTCGCAGTTTAAGCCCACCTTCACATTTAGCAAGAAAAAAAGAACGACATGAAACTTCTTGAGAATGTCAGGTAAGTGAATATTGCAAAATTGCTTCTAATTTAACAAAACCATGGTTTGGAAGAAATATTGGCTTGTTGAGAGAGGCCTAATGCCATTTGGTAAC